CTGGATGATTAAAACAGGCAGCCTAGGTGGTGATTCCCAAATGCACACTAGCTGTTCGAATGGCCGGGCAGATCTCTATGTTCTGAAAAGCAGCATTTCTACAGTGATCTGTTGTTTGAATAGAGTGAGTGGCAGAACCAAGAACAGTACGATGCCATTTTTGTTAACAACAAAACAAAGCCACATCTAGAGATCCTAAATGACCCTTAGGTGGGAGAGGAAATGAAAACTGATCTAGTAAGTAATAAAAAAGAGCATGTGTCCACATAGACATCTGAGAGATACACTTAAAGCTGTAGGCAGAGGAAAATGTATAATCTTGAAGGCCTTAATTATTATAAAGAGATAGATGATAGGCTGACAGTCAGGTGGACAGACTAAAGATTAAATTGCACTTTTCTTTAATGATCTTTAAGAATCACTTTTAGCCCTGGCCAGGTGGCTCAGCTGATTGGAGTGTCATCCCGTACACCAAAAGGTTACAGGTTTGATGCCCAGTCAGGGAACTTACAGGAAGCAACTGATCAATGTTTCTCTCTCTCTCTCAAATCAATAAATACATATACATATATAAAAAGAATCATTTTTAGCATACACAGTTTTCTATTGCTTGAGATGTATCATTTTTTGTAATTAAAAGAGATTCCTTTGACAGTTTCCCACTCCTATAAAAATGCAAACATATACCCACAAAAAAAACTTGTATACTAGTGTTCATAGAAGCTTTCTTCCAAATCACCTCAAACTGGAAACAACCCAAATGTCCATAAACAGGAGATTGAATAAACAAACTGGTTCATGCATACAACAAAACATTACTTAGCAATAAAAGGAATGAACTATTGATACATGTTGAACAGTATGGATGGATCTCAAAAACATTAGGCAGAAAGCCAGACACAAAAGAATGTATGCCATTCGTGTCCATTCTAGGCTTGGCCTAACTCGTTTATGGTGACAGAAATGAGAAACTGGTTCCCTTTGGGAGGGGAAGGGCACAGACAACTTTCTGGGGGAACTAGAAATGCTCTAATAAAGCATTTCAAGGCTCGATCTGGGTGGTGGTTACACAGGTATAACCACCTGTGTAATTCACCAAAACCCATCAAACTGTAACAGAATCTTTGCATTTAATCTCTGCATGTAAATTATATCTCAACTTAAACTTTTTTTAACCACAAGAAAATTTTTTAAAATACTGATCCCCAGGCTCCACCCCCAGGGGTTCTGATTCAGTATCCAGGCCTGGAAATCTGGATTTGTAAAAAGTAGTTCAGGCAATTCTGATACCTGACTAGAAGGAACTGCTGCTGACTCCGGCCCCTATACACCCCCCTCTCCTTTCATTGTTTTGAGTGATTTGTATGCTGGTTTTCACAAGCGAGAGCTCCAGTCTGATCACCAAGCTTTAGAAACACAACAATTTTCATTCTCTCTGCCCTGTCCCCGCCACCCCTAACCCCTGCCCCTCAGCCTCTGACCAGGTGAGGTGAGAAGGGCAACCCCAAAGCCCTGTCTAGGACAGACATACCTCACTCTAAAGAGGCCGGGGCTTCATGCTCCCAGGGAAGTCAAAGCTAGTAAGTTAATGGCCTGTGAACCTGTTAAACAGCATGTCCAGGCCTTCACCCTGTGTTTACAAAAAGAGCTCAAGGCAAGCTTCACTGGCATAGAAAATGCTTTGTGCCCTGACCGTACAGTGGCTCGGCCACATTCGGTTTTCTACGCCCCGCCTCGTTCCTCACTCACCATCAGGAGTCTCCCAGGCTCGGGGGGTTAGCAGGTTTCTTCACCGCTGTCCCTAAACCCAGTCTGATGCTATTTCTATCCCGCTGCCCTCAGTATAAAGGCTAAGCCCGTTTCCCTAGCACTCAAGGGCCTCCAGCAGTTCCTCTCTGCACCTGGGTCCTGGGAGGCGTGTCCGTGCCTTTGTACCTGCTGTGCCCTCTGCCTGTAACACCAGCCCATCCTGTTTCTCCATTCAGATGCCAACTCCAAAATCAACTCCCCTAAGAAGCTGAAGTTCCTCCTGCCTACGACCTCGCCATCAATACAGGCGGAGTCTTCGCAACACTCCATGGACGGCGTGGTCATGGCAGCTGCCGCACTGTCTTTTCTCCGTTGGGCTGTGAGCTCTTTGAAAGCCAATATTCTACCCTGAAGCCAGTGCCTGACAAGAACTGACCTTAGCAAGGTTTATTAACCAACTAAATGAGGCACGTGAAAAAAGAGCCCTCATTCACAGTCGAAGGCCACTGAGCATTTCCACATGCACAGCTCCTTCCCCCGATCCCATTAATTCACACAAACATTTTGGTTAAGATAAGCTGGGCAACGTGGAGGAGTGAGATGCAGCTCCAAAAAATCTGACTCTCGCTTATGACCTCATGCAGCTATTAGGAATCAGCCCACACCAACTGGGGTGACTCTGGGCCTCTAAAGCCAGCCCTAATTCTCACCTAGGCCTCCCTCCAGCTGCAGCGAAGCTTCATTCCAGGTGCTCCTGGCAATTTATTGTTCAACTCTTTCCTATATACAGGAATGTGTTCAATGACTCAGGTGTCTTATTTTGGGAACTTTGTAAAGAATTTCAGCTCCCACATCCTTTGACAGGTTGACAGGTGGACAAAATGGAGTTAGACAATACCACCCATGGGGACTAAATTACCTCCTGAGGGGCTGACACTTGCGTAGGAAAAGTGGCAGGGCTCCCAGAGAAGGCACAGAGGAGGGAGAACGGATAAGTAGGGACGGAACCGAGGTGCCAATGAGTCCCACGCCCTCACCCTCCGACCCTGAGGACAGGGACACTTTGTCCCTTGTTTCCCCAGTCCTGGTTCACTTTCAACTCCCTAAGACATGACTTACTAAAACTCCAGAGATGAAATTCACAGCTGGCCAAGGGAAGGCCTTTCCACCTAATCCTACCACTGTGCAATCAAGCTGCTCTCTTCTGAGCAGCTCTCAGTTTGCCCATCTGTAAAATGGGCACTACCTACTATGGTCTCCCAACTCCACAAAGCAGATGTGACCCAATCACAGCAGAATGAGCTAAAAGAGAAGGGTCGAGGTATCCCTGAAGGACAAAATCTCGAGGGTGTGCCTTAGCCCTTACCACATACCACAGTGACCTGAGACCTCGTGACACTCTCTAATCAGCAGCTCTGAAGCCTAGCCCGGCTTTACAGCTTACCACAGGCTTATTCAGTCTCATCTCTCTCAATCCCCTCAAGGACGCATAGAGGCTGGTATTGGCGTCCTTGCTGCCTGAGGCCCACCAAGGTCATAGGCAGACGAAGACAGAGGCACAGTACTTGAACTCACCTCCCTGGGGACAGATTCTAGTTACCACGGAACAAGTCTACTCCACCCACTTTACAGATGAGTAAACTGAGCCCCCCGCCAAAAGGTTGCCCAAGGTCAACTGGGGGGTGAGCCAGGCCTAGGACCTCTAGCTATTTTGCCAATCCCACCCTGTGGTGGGTAGTTATCCCCAGCACTCTCAGCACCATCCTCCCCTCCCAACACCATCCTGATGAATTTCCTTCCCCATCCCACCCCCACACCTCTTGATGCCCACCCCACACTCCCTGGATGACTCCCTGGTTGAGAGGGAGGCAGGCGGTTGCTAAGTGCTCACCCTGACGCGTGCTCTCTCTCATAAAAATAAACTCCTTCTGGCTAGGAGAGTCTGGATGAGAACCCCTCCCTTCCAGCCAAGAAAAAATTTAAAAGAAATTTTAAAAGATCTCCTCTATGACATTTATTTGAACGTCAGCAGTGCTGAAGTGTGGACCAATTTACCGAAGTCCAAATGGAGCCACGCGCCACTAAACCTCAAAACCTCAGCCCGAGGACCCTCCATTCAAGCATCTTGGCAGTTACTGAGCTAATTTATTTCACCAGCCATGAAATAGGGGGCCCGGGCTGCCTCCCAAGCCTTTAGGGCTGGTCCTGGGGAAGGCTGGGATCTGGCAGGGACCTGGCAATGACCAAAATAGCCAGGCTAGTGGCTCTGCCGAGCGCACACCTCCCTCTGCCTGCCCAGGAAGGCAGCCCACAGGTCCTCCCTCCAGCCCAGGCTGAAGGTTCAGGGCTGTGGATTCTCTGAGATTCTCCCTCTGGCTTCCCCGGTGGGAGCGGTAAAACCTCCTGCCCCAAAGAGGAACCCCCAGAAAGAAGGGGAAAAGTCAGGAGGAGTGTCTTGCTGTCCCTGCCCACGGCCCACTTGGCCTCCAGCTGTCCCTCAAGACGGCTGGATGTTGGCACTGCCACCTGCACGCGGCACACAGGCAGCACCCTTGGAGCCGTGCCACCCTATCACCTCTCCGCACTCAGTGCCTGCCCTGAAGAACCAGCTCTGCTGTTCAGTCCTCTAGACACCAGAGACACTCCTTCAGGTATAGCGGAGGACACACAAGTGCCCACAACCAGGGACTTGAAGACGAAGCCACATTCGGGTGGACACACGTGCACAGCCAGGTACTTTAAGCCACAGTCGCACACACACAAGTTCACACAGACACACACGGGGCACACAGTGCACACGTCTGAAGACACAACCACACTCAGGTATCACAGTCACACCAGAACATGCATACACGCAGCCCTGGACACAGAGAGCAGCAGGCATACATTGGGTTACACATTGCATGCTGCTGGGGATATGGAGAAACAGCCACCCTTAGAAACACACACACACACACACACACACACACACACACACACACACAGAGGGACGCGGAGATAAGAACAGACCGCAGTGAGACTGAGACACCGACACACACACACCTGCCGCCTGCACGAGAAGCCTGAGTCCTTTCGCCCAGGAAACAATAATAGCCCCGATAGCAGGTCTGAGCAGGCGACCCGCCGTCCCTCCCTCGGTGGTGGAAGGGAAGCCAGAATGAGGGGCACTGGGTAGAGGGAAGGTCGGGGGCCAGCAGGAGCGCGGGGACAGGGAGGGGGCTCCGCACGCCCGGCTCCTACCACTCGGGTACCTGGGGCGTCCGCGGCACTGCGCTCCTTTCCACTCACCGGGGTCCGCCTGCCCGCTGGATCTCTGGCCCGCAGGGTTCGCGCTCGGAGCTCCGCGGCGCGGCTGGGTCTCCGAGCTCGCAGTCCTCTGGGCTCGGCGACCGCCAGCGAACGGGGTTGCAACTAGGGCCCGGAGCTCAACGCTGGCAGCAGCGCGAAGGAAGCAGTAATTTATAAGCGGCTTCTTCCTGACCTCGCGTGTCTGTTGTCTGAGCCGGCAGCTCTCAGCATCACCCATCCTGCTGGGTGGAAAAATACCAGCTTGGCCGGGCCGGGGGGCGGGGCCGGGGCGGGGTTGGGGCGGGCCCGGGGCACCCTGCCCCTCCCCATGCGCGGACACACACGCATGTACATGCGCGCGCACACACGCACACTCCACAGACGCACGCGCGCACGGGCTCGGACACACAAAGAGCCCGGGCTCGCCGAGCGCGCGCGTGCACACCACAGGCGGTGGTCGAACACTCGGCCCGATGCTTTCCCCATTACAGCGCATTTTCCAGGAAACCCTTACTCTACAACTCCTGGTGCCAAGTGATACAGCCGGTCCTCAGCCCCTTCCTGCCAAGAGAAGCCCAACCCCAACGCGCTCAGGAGCCTAATACCAACCTCCAGATCCCCCACTCGCCCATCCACCTGGCTCACGGGAGGGGCCTGTGGTTCCTTGAGTTGTGAAGTCCAAACCACTCCATTGTGTCCTCCGGGGCGATCTTCCAGGTTCTCAGCCTTGATATGCTCCTTCAAGAAATGGGTACAACAGTCCTCCCTTGCTGCCTCCCCCAGGCTTGAGCGCGACCTGAGATTGAGATGTGAAGCCGATAAAGAGCACCCGGATTTTTGGCTTTACCCCAGCTGGGTGACCTTGGGGTAGTGGTACAGGGGCTTTCTGTGCCTTGGCTTCCTGATCTGTAAAATGGAAATAAAAATAGGGGAACTTATCTCCCCTGGCTGCTGTGAAGATCCAAGGTTAACAGTGTAAAGCAATCAGAACAGCACCAGGCACTTAAGTGCCAAGCGAGTGTCAGCTACTGAGACTATTTTTAAATGAAAATGGGGAATGTGCCATTATTCTTGTCCTTATTTGCATGAGCGAGTCCTCAGAGACCATTTTTCCATAACCAAGCCCTGGCTGAGCATGAGGGGGAAGTGTGGTGTAACTTCCAGCAAGGATTTTTCCCTCTCCGAACCCCAGTTTTCTCCTCACCGAACCCCAGTTTTTTTTCCTCTCATTCCCTCTCTGAACTTGGGAGGCTGTGTGGAGAGCTCAAGGATCCTTCCACCTTTAAGACTAAGAATAAAGGAAGAAATACCAAACAGACCCTGCAGACAGACACCCTCCATGTCAGACCCAGGATGGACCAGGGATGCTGATCAGCAGGACTCTGGAGAGGACATGACCTCTCCCTGGCTTCCTCATTGGGGCCCCCTGCTGTCTGGCTCCATCCTGACCTTCTGGCAAGCTACCCCCACCCAACTCCAGCCAACCCAGACACTGGCCACTCCTGCACATACTCTGCATCGCCTTCTTGTGCCTACCCAGGGACCAGCAGTGTCTCCAGCATCCCAGCAGCCCCAGGTGGCATCCACTTCCAGCCACCGCAGCTCTCTCCTTTGAGTTCAGGGTACGCATCCCTTGTATCGGCAAGGAAGACAGAACTAGAGAGGAAAGCAACTGAATCCCCACCTTTCTCCCCTTCTCGTGGAAGTGAGGTTCCACCATGAGGTGAAGGAGCAGAGAGCAAGCAGAAACTCCCCAGACTCTTTGTGCAAAGAGGCAGGTCATAGTGTAGAGCTGACTCTGAAGCTGAAGTTGACACCAGGAGGCTTTGACTAAACCACAGAGTTGAGGAGAATGGAGAGGGAAGCGTGTTCCAGGCAGGAGAAGTTGCTATGCAAAGACTCACTGGCAAGAGTGGTGGTGGCTCTAAGCAAAGGTGATGTGGGCCCCGCCGAGAGTGGGAGAGAGGGAGAGAGGGCAGTGTGGCCACGGGAGGAAGGAGGGGAATGATGTGTCCAGGGCTGCCGTTTGAAAACGTCCATTGGATCATCTGAACTTCAGGCGGGCCAGTGTAGTGCAGATAGTGTCGGTGCAGAGCACAGGGACAAGTCTCGTCCAACCCACTATCTTCCTCCTCTAGGCCGTTAACTCCACAAGGGATGGGACCTTGTCCTTTGTGCCCCTGGTGAGTCCTGGGCCTGGCACACACTAGGCACTGAACAAATGTTTGTTGTGTTTATTTTATTTAACAAACCCTTATATAGATAGCACTTAGCTACATGTTGGGGACAGTTTGATGCATTTAAATATGTTAACTTACTTAATACGCACAATAACCCTGTGGGGTGGGTACTATTCTTCCCATTTTACAAAAAGGAAAGCCGAGCCACAGAGACATTCAGGAACTTGCATGGTCCCTCAGTGGTCACATGATAGAGCTGGAATTCAAACCCAGGCCATATGGGTCTAAAGGCCGCACTTTTGAATAAGGAAATTCCTGGGCTCTTAGTGGTTGTCAGACAAAAAACCAGCCCCAGAGGGCACAAGAGAGGGAGGGGAAGAGGAGGAGAGAAGCCAAGGAGGGCTCCGACCTTGACCCAAGGACAGAGAGGCAGATAAGAGACAGAGAAGGGCAAAGGTGGGGGGGGGCAGCGGTGGGCAAACCCAGGGTGGGTGGGGAGAGCTTGGCATGGAACCAGAGACTCCCAGTTTCTATTTCCCTTTCTGCCACTTCCCAGTTGTGTGACTGGGGCCTGCATGCCTGTTCCCTGTGCCCCAGTTTCCTCATTCATAATATGAGACAATAAACCCTGCCTCATCGAACCATTATGACAAGAGGTCTCAAATTGGGAGTAGGGGGTTAGGGGGTGGCGCCTGCACCGAACCCATCTCTCAGATGTGCTCCTCTGGCCTCTGCTGGCCTTTAAAATACTTGAGTTAATTGCCATGAATAAAAACTTGGGAGAGTTCACATTTTAGAAACCTGAATGTCTGCTTTCTCTGGAGAAAAATGACAAGATAGCCTTGACTAGTGTGGCGCAGTGGGTTGGGCATCGTCTTGCAAACCAAAAGGTCACAGCTTCGATTCCCATTCAGGGCACATGCCTGGGTTGCAGGCCAGATCCCTGGTTGGGGGTTTGTGAGAGGCAACTGTTTCTCTGGAACATCGATGTTTCTCTCCTTCTCTTTCTCCCTCCCTTCCTCTCTCTCTAAAAATAAACAAAGAAAATCTTTTTTAAAAAATAGCAACACAGAGCCACCTCAGGCCCACCATCACTTGGAGCTGAGTGGCATCAACCACACCCTCACATGGGGGGTATGGGCTCCCCAGGTTTCCACAGTCCCCACCTGGCTAGTTCCTTCATTTATGCCACCTCCCTGTCCCCTGCAAGGGGCTGAGTTTGAGACCTATGAGGTACTTTGTGCACCATCCTTGTCCCTTTGCCAGGGGATGGCAGCTGGAAGCTCTAGGAAGAGACTGAGCACCAAGGAACAGAGACCATTGGCAATGAGGAGGGAACTTCAAGGAAACCCAGGCAGCGGTTTCCTTCAGGAGCCACAAGCCAGCCTGAAATTCCATTGGGACTACTTCTTCCCATCTCAAAACTGAAAATCAATAGCTGGAGAGCTCCCTCAGGGCGTGTGAGGAGAGATGGCCAAGTGTCTGCAGTGCTGAACTTAGAGGCAGTGAATGAGACTGTGAAAAGGCGACTTGATGAAGTTGTTTGTTTTTTTCTAAGCAGTTGGAAATAATAAAATAAAATTGATCCTGAACTTTGAATAAAACCCTTTGTCCCTCGCCGCAAAATAGTTCGTCTCATCTTTCAGGCAACCAACAAGAGTGGTTGAACTGCTGGCTGGCGGTCCATCTGGCCAGCCTCCTATACCTCTCAGGATGTCATTCCCTAAGGAGACAAAGTGACGAAGCTGCCGAGTGGCCCCTGACCTGGTCGCTTTCTCTTGGGCACACCCCTAGTGTCCACATCTCTGGAGGTGTACAGGCAAATGGCTGTACCACAGAAGCTTTGTCCGAGCACCTGAGCCTTCAGGAACCTGCTTCTCGTTACCCACCCTCCTCTTGCCTGCTTGCAAATCCCAGCTTCATCTCTTGTGACCTGTGTAAATGAGACTGAATCATGTGACCTCTCTGTGACTCAGTTTCCTAGTTTGTAAAGCCAGACTATTTGTAACCCCTATGCCCCTGGTTGTTGTAGAGATTAAGTAGAGATGATTCACAAAAAGCACCTAGTCTCGTACCTGGCAGGACACTGGATGACCCTCCTGCCTTCATGCTGGAGCTTTTCCTCCTCCTGGACTTCCCCCCCTACTGCTCCCTCCCCTCTGTTGTTCCCTCCCCCATGCCATTTCCTCCCCCAAAGCACTTAACTCATTGCCTTCCTGCAGCCTGGATCTCAGGCTCACTTGGAACCCCAGAGTGGGAGCACCCAGAAGGCAAGGAGGCCTGGCAGTGCCCAGCACAGAGCCTGGAGTGCAGAGGACCCCAGGGGACGCTTACTGGGCGTGGCCTGTGGTGGCAAGCTGCCAGGGCTCGCTTCCTCCTCTCCCCCGGTGGGTGCAGCAATCTACGCCAGGGCTGGGAAGGTGACGCTGCAGGAGGCAAACCTGCAGAGGAGGGGGTGCACGTGCACGGTTCCACATTCGCCAAGGCTGCAGCCACTCTCCAGCTCCCAGCCACCAGAGGCCAGGCCAACCAGACCGACCGTCATCTCCCTTCTGGTGCCTGCTGGGAGGGTGCGGTGGGGCTCCTCCCTGGCCTCCTCTCCCGCCCCTCAGCCCATCTCCTGGGCAGCCAGAGGGATCCTGGAACTCTGCTCCATGGCTGCTGGGGCATGGGATGGCACATCCACTCCGGGAACAGTGCAGCAGTTTCCTCTAAGGTGTAAACATCCATTTAACCTATCAGCTAGCAGAATATCCAAACCTGTAGAGAATTTTTATAACTCATCTGAGCTAAACAGGGGATATGCCCAGAAGCAAGATCTCAAAAGACTGAGAAAAAGCTTCCAAGAAATGACAGTTTGCAGCTTCTTGTGTTTGGATTTAAGGACAGAGCACAAGGAAGATTATATGAAAGCAAGGCGGGAACGCTTTACAGGGTTGTTATCTCAAATTGTGGATAGGGCTTTAAAGAAGGGATTTGAAAGGGTGGTCAGTTTGAGAAGGAGGGGCCTAAAAAGAGGTTAACAAAAGTGTGTTAACCTAGATGCACAGAAACA